TGTTGACCAGGATGGTCTCGATCTCTTGACCTCGTGATCCACCCGCCTCGGCCTCCCAAAGTGCTGGGATTACAGGCTTGAGCCACCGCGCCCGGCCTCCTAGCTATCTTTTTACTGTATCAGTGAGGGGATCCCAAACCAGGTAGTGCAATGGAAGCATCCAGGTGCCTTTAAATAAATCAGATTCTCAGAGACTGATTCAGAGACCTGGTGTGGGGTCTGGGAATCTGTTCAGGTAAGAGAGAAAACCAGACTTGGCTTTTCAGACTTGGTTAAATGTTTTAGCTGGATTTAAAGAAGCCTGGATATAAAGGTTTCAGACTTACTGCATAGGGAGGCTGGAGGAAAAAAGCACCAGCAGAGTTAGGCCTGGGAAGGAGGAGACATTTTTCCAGCGACAGATGGCCCACTGCTCAGCCCTGGCTCCAGAATGCAAAAGAAATCAGAAATAGATGCTCAGCAAGAAGCATGTGCCACCCGCATCATGCCTTATGCAGCTGCCATAGCTTTAACCAGGAAAACACACACCTTACCCCACTTTGCAGACCCTCCTGAAGCGCAGTAGATACTAGGGGAGGCATGGGGGGAGCAGATGGAGGAAGAATGAAAAGCAGTCCAAAGAGTCATCCTCTCACTTGGCAAGGACAGAAGAAAACTATACCCAACAGTGTCAGGGCAGTCGAAGGCTTCACTCAAGCCCCGTTCCTCCCAGGCTTCAGAGCAGTGGGAATTTACCTCAGCGAATAGAAGGAGATCTTACAACACATTTCACAATCTAGATTTATGTCTTGAGATGCCAACCCAAGATCAAAAGCTTCTCGGTCTATTCCACTCTGCCCACTTCATTCTTCAGGCCCTCTCTTAAGGGCCTAATCCCTTTAGCATCCTAAAAAAAAAAATGACCAATAGTAGGGGGAAAAAAAGGTAAACCTTTATTTAGAAAAAGAATTTAAATAACCATTTAAAACCCCATTTCATTTTCAAAACAGAAACAAGTAAGCAAGGAAAAGATAATCTATCGAGCACCTGCCCTCTGCCCTCATTAGCCGTTTTAAACCTGCATTTCCCAGCAGAAGAGAACAGTGATGGGCCCTAGTCCTAGGAACCCATAGGGCACTGTCTTGAGACCCTTTTAGGCAGTGTCCAGGGGACAGAGAGACAGAATGAATGGTGGGGTGTGGACAGACCTGGGGCTCAGACAGGCACATGCCCAGTACCCAGGAAACAAAGTTTAAAAATATACACACATAGAAAAATAAATTCCCTAGAACCTAGGCATGGAAAGCTTCTAACCATGAATGCAGCAGCACAATTCAAACTGGGTCTTTGGCTTTCAAAAAAAAGGAAAGAACTTAACCTGGCTCACTGTCCCAAACTCAAGTCTCTTGGCCGCTGTCTTCAGTCCCACTCTGGAGGTTGAGTGGGGCAAGAGCAAGTTAAATCTCCCAGGGCCAGCAGCTACTCTGACTTAGGGAGATGTATGGAGGTGCCGGCCCAGGATCTCCCAAGGCCACACCCCAGCAATGAAAGATTAAGGGATGTAGGTGACACGGTATGGACCAAGGAGTCCCCTGAATAAGCCAGGGTACCCCTGTATTAGGGGAGGGAAAGCAGAGGCAATAAGCAGCTGAGGCCTTGCTGGACAGAGCCAATCCACAAGCACTGCCACTCCAAATTCTTGGACCAGTTTTGTCCAAGGCCACCTTTCTGCTGAGGCAGTTTGGCCTGAGCTAAATACCAGGGTTTTCTAGAAAGAAAATAGGAGGGAAGTGGGAGACAGGAGGAGAGGAACAGAAAATTGCTTCTTAAGAGTGCAGAGGAAAGAGAATCAGTTTAGGTCTGAGTTCCTGCGGGGCAGCTGCAGTTTACCTGCTCTTTCCCCTACTGGAACTCCTACCCTTGCCCCAGTTCTGTAGGCTGCAGAGTCCAGTGAAACAAGAGTTTTCCTGAAGGCTCTTTCTCCTCCTCATCCTTAAATAGTTTTAAACCTCATACCACTTACCCTAGCCCTGTGAACCCCATATAAGGGTTCAAACTTCTGCCTCCCTCAGGGAAGTCTGGAAACAGGGATGGGCCATTGAGAAATTGCACCAGGTCTGTGGGGAGCTCTGGGTTGGAGGCACAGGGCCCGCTGGGGCAGGTAGCACATCCCTGAATCTGTCACTCCAGGATGTGGGCCCCAATTGGTCCCGGAGCCCAGATGCCAGGCCTGCTCTGGTTGGCACGATGAATGTGTAATGAAACACAGAGGCTAAAAGGAGAGATGGGACCATGCCCTGCTGCTGCCTGATCATACACAGATACTTGGGTCAGACTCTGCACCTGCCCCTAGGCCTGCAGCACCCATGTGAAAAGTGGACTGGTCAGAGGCAGGCATGGCTGTGCAGAACAGTCCCACCCCAAGAGGACACACGCACGATATGCACATCTCACATGTGCATGCCTGGCAAGAGGGCCCAGAGGTCCTGAAGGCAGGGAAAATGTCGGGTCAGAAGGTACACCAAGAAACGGCCTGAAAGCAAATAACCAATGAGATCAGTTAACTCCCACAACCCTGGTAATTAAAAATCAAGGGGGAGCGCTGGATACATGGAAGGAAAGGGGAGCCCCCTTTCTGCCTCTCCCAGGGCCACTGAGTGTGTGGCACAGGATTAGGAAGAGGCTGGGGTGAGGCAGAGAGCATGGCCAGGCCTGGAGAAAATCTAACCATGGGAAAAAGGGAACAAGGAGTGGGAGGGGAGGGGATGTAAGTTTCTTGGATCTAAGTTTCCAGAAGCATGGGATTTTTCCATAGTCTCTGATCCAGTGAGCTCTTCTGGGAGAGAAGCTCTCTTCCCTCGGGAGCCCCATCATGGGGCGGTGACTTCCATCCCGAAGCTGGCTAGCAGGCAGAGGTGGTCTGAAGAGCAGAAGGGGTTAGGTAACCCATTGGCAGCCCAGAGAATCTCTTCAGAGAGAAGGGAGAGACGGCCCAGGAGCTTGAGAGTTCCATCTCGATACAGCCTGTGATCTGGGGCACAAAACAGAAGCCACTGTGTAAAAGCAGCCACAGCCACACTGCACAGGCCTTCTGCAAGCTGCATTCCTGTGGCTGCCCACTGCCCCTCTCCTCCTCCTGCAGCCTCTGAGGAGGTCTTATTTTCTCAGAGATATCCCATAATATCATCAATGAATGAAGACTGGTGAGCTCCAGGGGACTGGAGCAAGCTGGAGAGCCCAGCATGACAAGATCTTTTGATTTTCTAAGAGAATTTGGAGATCCAGCTTTTCTATATAAAATCTGATTTTTTTTTTTTTTTTTTTTTTGAGATGGAGTATCACTCTGTTGCCCAGGCTGGAGTGCAGTGGTGCGCTCTCGGCTCACTGCAACCTCTGCCCCATGGGTTCAAGTGATTCTCCTGCCTCAGTCTCCCAAGTAGCTGGGATTACAGGCATGAACCACCACACCCAGCCCATAAAATCTGATTTTTAAACATAAGCCATCAATTGAAATATTTAATTAAAAAAAAATTTTTTTTTTATAGTCTTGCTCTGTCACCCAGGCTAGAGTGCAATGTAGCATGATCTCAGCTCACTGCAACCTCCACCTCCCAGATACAAGCAATTCTTCTGCCTCAACCTCCTGAGTAGCTAGGATTATAGGCACCCACCACCATGCCTGGCTAATTTTTTTTTTTTTTTTGAGGCAGAGTTTTACTCTTGTTCCCCAGGCTGGAGTACAGTGGCACAATCTCGGCTCACTGTAACCTCCACCTCCCAAGTTCAAGCGATTCTCCTGCCTCAGCCTCCGAAGTAGCTGGGATTACAGGTGCCCACCACCACACCCAGCTATTTTTTTGTATTTTTAGTAGAGATGGGGTTTATCATGTTGGCCAGGCTGGTCTTAAACTCCTGACTCAAGTGATCCACCCACCTCAGCCTCCCAGAGTGCTGGGATTACTGGTGTGAACTACCACACCTGGCCAAAAAGAAATATTCTTCACACAATACAGGCATGGGGCTGGGAGACTGCTATACTGTGACTACTACTGGTATGGGGAGAGACAATAGAAAATAACGTCTCTAACCTAAGGCCCACACTCAGTGGCTTTCATTAAACAAATTCAACTACTTTCTAGATCTCTATTTTTATCTTTAAAATGGGGATTGGGAGTGACTGTCCTACTCTCCTCTCCCTAATGCTGCAAGGGTAAGAGTCAGGGCAGGCAAGTAGGCTATGGGGAGAATGATAAGGATGATCAGTGCAGGGGAGGTGTGAAATCTGCTCCTTTGCTGGTTAAATCCCAGCAGCCCAAGACATGCTACCAAATGCCTGACCTACCATTAGCTGTTCCCAGGGACCTCGGGTTAGAGGAACCCAGTATCCATCAAGCTTACCAGTTCTATTCCCATTCTCATAGGACTCAGCTGAGAAAAAGATGTAATCTACTGTCGTTCCAAGACCCAACGGCATTGTAGTGACCTCTGGGCAGCCACGTTGGGGCAGGAAGTGGGTATATACTGAGGTCAGGTGGAGGCAGTGCTGGATGGTACCTACAGTCCTACAGGGAGGGAGGGGAAAATATTAGTCAACAAAAATTATTAAATTTTCCCTACGTCACTTTCTCTGTGGGTTTTATGAAGATTTTTTAAAGGGATGATCTCAAAGACTCAATCTCAGCCAATTCCTTCCCATGTTAAGAAGAGGCTAGCAGTCTTAGCTAAAATTAGCCTAGAAACACACATTTGTACTGAGACTCCCTGACACTCCTCATCCCCCACTATCTGCTTGTGACCTGGTAAAGTATACCCAGTGTACCCCTGTCTGGGGCCCAGGGCTCTTCTGAGGCTTTACCCTCTGAGGAAAGAGTACATGGCCTTTTCACCTGCAGGAACATGGGTGGGTCACCGCTGGCTTCTGCATACCTACATGACCCTCTATAAGCTTAGCAGGTATTAGGGGGAAAATACCTTAGCAAAAAGTGCTCCCTCAAGTCAGCCTCAAGACAGCCAATGGGAATCTCTCTCTTACACCTAGGCAGGGGCTAGACCGAAAACTGAAGCGAACTGGAGACGGTTACCTGGGGAAGGCAGGCTCAAGCTCAGATGTGTCTTCCTCAAGGACAGACTCAGCCCAACCCGCAGGTCGCTCTGTAGAGGACCAGAGAGAAAAAGGTTTTCTCATCCACAGACAGTGAAGCAGGGTCAGAACTTTTCACTCTAAAGTCCCTCTCAGATCCTTGACTGGACTGCTTCAGAAGGATTCAGGAGGAGAAAGGGAAAGAGAAACAGTGAGGAGGAGAAGACGACAATAAACCAAAGTCAAGAACTTCAGAAAGCAGATTTAGGGCCTCTAACACAGACATTGTCCTCTGCAGCACCTTGCTTTTGGTTTTCTTTAATTTGATTTTTAAAAAAATAAGTCATATAGTCACATGGTACAAAATCAAAAGGTAGCAAAAAATAACAGTGAAGTTTCCCTCCCACTTGCCCTCCTCTACCACTCAATTCCCCTCTCCAGAAGCCACCAATGTTACCAAATTCCTGGTATATTCCTTCAAAGACTTTCTATTACATACCATCCATTGTGTATGTCTATGTATATATGCATACATGTATATATACATACATATTACATATATGAATAAACACACATCACACACATACATATCATACATATAAATGTTAAAAAAGAAAGATACAAATTACCAATATCAGGAAAGAAAGAAGGGCCATTAGTACAGATCCTACTAACATTAACAGGATAACAAGATCAACAACAACATTGACAAGCCCTTAGCTAGACTGACCAAGAAAAGAGAATACTCAATAACTAAAAGTAGAAATGAAAGAGGGGACCCCACCACCAACCATATAGAACTAAAAAATAACTATATGTGCATGCTATAAATAACTAGATACCAACAAATTAGATTACACATAAAATTGAAAAATTCCTAGAAAGACACAAACTATGCAAAATAACTCAAGAAGAAACAGAAAATCTGAATAGGCCTATAACAAAGTGATTAAATCTGTAATTTTAAAACCTACCACAAAGATAACTCCAGGTTAGATGGCTTCACTGGTGAATTCCAGCAAACATTTCAAGAGGACTTAATACAAATCCTTCACAAACACTTCCAAAAAAAAAAAAAAAAAAAA